AGTGTAAATTTAAAGCTAAGTCATCAGCTTTTTCTCTTTCAGAAAACTTATCGGTTAAAAAGTTTTAAAGAGCGCAAAAGAAAGTTTTTCATTGGATCATAACAGGTTGAGGTTATGCTAAAAAATAGAATTAGTGATAGAATTAGATAGAATTAGAAATCTAAGAAATAGAAACTTCTAAAAAGTCTTAAAATAATACAGACCATGAACAATTGCATGTTCTGATAGTTTTTAAAATTGTTTAAGAAATGTAATTATAGAATGAGTTAAACTTTTAATCTTGTTAAGTAATTCATTTGTATTCTACCATCCAAGGGAAAGAGGTCCTTTTCTGAATTTTATGTTTTTTATTTTTCAGATTTTTTAAAATTTTTCTGTTACCAGCGCAAATAAATTTTTATTTTATGTAAGCTGTATTATTTTACTTATGATTCTAATACAATATTTTCAAAATACAATTCTTATATAAAAGAGTATAATTCTGGACGATTGAAAAATATTTTAAATTAATTTATATTACCAGTATATATTTTTTTTAATATTATATTATTTATAAGCATTGTTATGGTTAAAGCTTCATTGTGTTAAAAATAATTTTCAAAAAAGTAGTTTATTCTTTATTTATTATTAAATCATTAGTGCTAAAATTTATTTATTGCTTAAGTATTTAATATTTATGCTACTATGACGTTAATAAAAATTAATTATGCTTATTAAGCAATAACGCATTACAATGTAGTTGATAATTAATTAACAATGCTTAATAAGTAATGTTCAAGAGTAACATTAAGAACTCATTCTTTTATTTACATTATTAATATTATACTTTGATATCAAATTTTTACATGTTTAGTTGAACTGTAATGTCATTAAAATTTTAATTGAGTTATAATAATTTAAAAATTTGGTATTTTTGTTCTTCGTTCTCTTGACTTTTCTTGATGCTTGCAATTTATAATGCATGATTAAATTTTAAATATTTAAAAAGAGTTTAAGAAATACTTTATCACAGCGTTTCTCAACCTTTCAGTATTCGCGGCCCAGTTTTCAATCAGAATTTTCATCGCGCCCCCCGCTTACAGTAAAATATATACAACAATAATGTATATTGAGTATTTTGAAATCTGTTTTTAAATAATTTTTAACTAACTGCCAAAACGAAAGTAAAAGCGAGCCAACGTTGGGAAGAAATTACATCTTGCATTTTGCCAAGCGGGCGGTGAACAGATGAAGCCAATGAAAGCGAGGAAAATTTAAATATTATATTTGAAATGAAAGCCAAACAGGGAGTAACGTTAAAAGAATATGAAAGTAGAAAAATTCGTTAATGAAAGTAAGCCTAGACTGGGTGAGCTAAATTTAGAAACAGGGAATAAATTTTTTCGAATAATAAAAGCAATAAAGCAGAAGTATGACTAAACAATAGAGAGAAAAAATAAGTAATTTTTGTGGAAAGGAATCTACACTACCTATGGCGTCTCGAGCAGACGCAGAGAAAATGTTTTCTCACAAGAAGGAAAATGTTCGATAACGCAAGTTTTAATTCCAGCCAGTCATTCGAGTTGATCCTTCTATCGTTATCGAATCTATGTGTATGTTATATATATTTTCATGTTAATTGCAATTCACCGTATTAAATATTCACTGCAGCAGTTTTATGCACACTCATGGATACATTTTTAGTGGACACAAGCTAACATTAGACGATAAAGCATCAACAAGTACACAAACGAGGGTGGTTCCGAAAATAAAATCAAGAAAATAATCTCAATAATACTTAAATTTTGGGTTTACCAGTAGCTAATAAACTCAAACGTTATTTGGAAAAGCTTCATAGTGAAATCGAGAGAATTCTTCTCATTAAAATTAAAATCATGTAAGAAACAAAAATCGTTTTTTACTGAAACTTTGTCTGTGAATTAAAAGGCTTTAATTACAAAGTTTCATATAAAATGGAAAGTTTCATATAAAATAGCCAGATGTAAAAAAACTCCCACTATTGGTGAAGAGCTTTTTTTTACCAGCAGCAATTGAAATAGTAGAAACTATATTTGGAGATAATTTTTCAAAACAATTGCAGTCCATACCTCTTTCAAATGATATTGTTGATCGTCGAATTGGTGATATAGCTGAAGATGTGTTGTGTCAGCTTTTCTATAAGTTGCGTGACAAATTATTTTCAATACAGAACGATGAAGCAACAGATAGTAATAAAGATTCTCATTTAATTTCCTATGTTCGATTTTGTGATAATATGTCAGTAGTGGAATAACTAATTTTCTTCAAACCAATAGAACTCAAAATAACAGAGCTCGCATTATTTGCTATTTTAAATGATTTTATGAACGAGGCAAACATAGAAAAGAAAAATTGTGGCAGAATATGCACTGATGGTGCTCGTTTAATGTCAGGAACATTCCAAAGTATACAAGCACTTGTAAAACAAAAATTGCCTCAGTGCATCTGGACACATTGTATGATCTGTGGAGAAGCTTTGGCTTCGAAAGAAATGAGTCCTGGTCTGAATATTGTGTTAACTACGGCTGTAACAGAATGAAAATGAAACCCCGGAAATCGAGAATCTTTTCCGCACTTCGTAAAGACATGGGTTCAGTACAGTCAGCGTTACTATATTGCGAAGCAAGATGGTTATCGCGTGGGAAATTTTTGCAACGTGTTTATGAATTAAGGAAAGAAATCGTCATTTTCCTAGAAGAAGAATACAGGTTGGAAGCCGAGACTTTTCGCGATTTATTTGTGATGAAATTGAGCTATTTGGCAGACATATTCGAGAAATTCAATAACTTGAATCTTCTACTCCAAGAAGTAAATACACACATGTTGGATACGAGTGATAAAGTTAATGCTTTTTGTAGAAAACTGGAATTGTGGAGCAGAAATTTAAAGCAAAAAAAACTAACAATGTTTGCAAATTGTGCTAAAACTTACAAGGCTAAAGAAGAATATCTATAATTTGTTTTTCTAGATATTGAAAATCATTTATCCATGCTGGCAAATAATTAAAAAAAATATTTTCTTGCTGACGACAAACTGATAGAAAGTTACGAATGGGTTAGGGATCGATTTCATGACTCCTGAAGGACTCTCAATTGATGAGGAAGAAAAGTTAATGGACTTCACGACAAATGGCTGAACCAAAAGACAATTTGCTTTTGTGATAGCTTCTGGTATTTTCTTAAATTGGGTATTTTTATATTAGTTAGTTAACTCCAATGGTTAGTTAATTCTTACTTACTAGTTATGGTTAGTTAACTCTTTTGAAAGAATTAACTCAGTAACTCATGATTTATTCTAATAAGTTACCTCAAAAGAATCGCTAATGACATAACACAAGAACTATCAATGTAAATAATATATAAAAAAAAATATGCACTCTAAAGAAATATCTTTTTTAAAGTCGGGAGACTTGTCTCCACTAGCAACACTCTTAAAGAGTCTTTTTAAAAGACGTTTGCCATTTGCCAGACATTTGCAAGTGTCTTTTCTAAGGATGATTTGAGTAAGTGAAAAAGTGATTTCAATATATGGGCCACCTTAGGGGCAAAAGCTACAATTGTGAAATTGTACTATAAAATAAATGAAATTTTATTTTACAATTAAAAGTATACGTGATATGTATTAGAGATAGGTGTAAGATTTTACAAAAAAAAAGGAAGAACTTTAGCCACACAGACTTAACCAGAAAACTAGGAAAAATCCTTAAAGCTTAGCCATGGACACCTTTGGCTCACCCACCCTAAGTTTTGATTTAATAAGTTATTTTACTTTAATAAGTTATTGAATGTGCCGAAATGTATTTTGTTTTCTATGCGTATGTGTGCTTTCCTTCCCGTCAGTTGATCATTTTTTTTAAATAATATTTTCTCTAAACATCTTCGCGCCACCCCTCTAGCTTGCTAAGAAAAGCATTTATTTTATATTTTATAATTGACATTAAATAACAAATCTATAGAGGATCTAATAGACTTTTAATTTTGAAGCAAACTCAGAAGACAAGAGAACACTTGATTTAAACAGTTAGGCAAACACCCCCTCATAAATCACTTATTGAGAAACACACATATCACATTTGTTTATATCAATTGTATAAATAGCTTATTGTTATGAGTTAGTTGAGAAAATTTCCCTTGCTGTTTGCTTTGTTGAATGTATTAAGTACATTTAAATATTTCTAGGTTTATCTTATAATTTTATGATGAGTTTGATAATGAATACATGGACCATTTTGCTTATAACATCAATTATGGTGCTGGTGAGATTTATTGGACAAGAAGGATAAAATAGCAGAAAAGAGAGCTGAGTTATTGAAAGAGGTTACTTTTACAAAGTAATTATAGCTCTTAACTCCTCATACTTTTCCTATAATAATTGATATATGATAACTGAGACTTAGATTGATTAAAATGATGTATGCTAGAATTGATAGTAAGATTGATATTTAGATTATAGCTTATTTTAAATTAAGTTGTTTATGGTAAAATTAATGTGAAAAAAGGGTTGTACAAATATATCATTGTATTGGCATAGTTAAGGAATTTGTTTTTACTTTAACAAGATTGTTGAAGTTTTCCTTTTTGTGTAACATTAGTTAATATCTACTAAAATTTTCATTATGAAGAAATTTGCATGTTTTAGTTAAAAATATTATTCATTTAAATATTAAACAATTGTATTGTAATTAATGTTTTATAATATGCTGCTTTATTTAAATGCAAACCTTAAAATTTAATTATGCCCAATTTTAAATAAACTATTTTTTTTTAAATCCATATAATTTTGTAACCATTTTAACGAAAGCAATATAAAAAATTATCTAAGCTATATTATTCCGAAGGTGTAGGAGTAATCATAGTGAAACATTGTTTGCGCACATTTTTCAAAATTACTATAAAATAACATAAATTGATTAGATTAAGACCTCATAGGTTAAAAAGTAATTAATCCATTTTGCTCAAGTAATGTTCAGCAATTTCTGAACAATTAAGTTTTCCTTGCAGAAATATGTTATCATAATTATATATATTTTAGGAAAATCTGCTTTATCTCCGAAAACTATTATGACTTTTTACAACAGGGTCCACACATAATCAGTTAGTAGCAAAATATCTGTTATTAATTTTCGGACTTAATCTGGAGCAGAAGCTTATAAATTATGTTGAGAGGCTATAACTGCTTATGACGTTTCTTTTATTTCTACACTTATTCTTAAATTTTTTCTCACAATGTTTTGTCTCTTAAATTTATGTATTTCTAAAGAAGTAATGAGTTTCATAGATTTTAAAGTGTCATTTAATGTTTGATTAAAATAAAATTTTATTGTTTTCATTTAGCATTCTTTCTCTCTTTCTCTTTGTAGTTTAAAGGCAATTAAACACATGTTTACATTACTCAACAAATTTATTTCTGCTTTTTTATACTAATATTTAAACTGATATATATTATCATGTCTAGACCGTAATGCAAGAATAATCAATGTTAATATTTTAAAATTAAATAAACTAAGGATTTAAAATTCTTGAAGAAATCTTTTAATTAGCACTACAAAGTTGAATGATATAACTTTTCTAGTCTGACTTTTAAATTTGAATTGCTTCATTGTTCTTATCAATAAAATTTAGCCCTTTTCTACTGAAAGACATTGCATTTTGTCAAAATTTAATATTGATCTATACTTTTGGGTGTAATTGTTAATTCAGTGTTATTGTTAGTTATACGACTGCTATGAAAATAGCGTAAGAAGTAATTAAGAAGAATTTGTACTCTTCATTTACCATTCCCTTGTGAGATTTAGGTATATTTACAGTAGCTGAGTTATGTATATTTATTCCCTTCGAGAATAGAGGAATAAAGTTTAAAAAAAAATTTTTACTGCGAAAATGTAAATGACTAAAAATGTTTAACCACATTTTACATTAAATATTCCTCTATTATCTTTTGTTTTACTGGTCACTTTCATTTTGAGCCTCTAAGCATCAATATTTCAATCAAAGTCATACATATTTTTTCCTGCTTTACTCTGATAAATAATGCACAAACAATTTATTTCTTGAGAGAGTTTAAGAAAATGCAAAGTTAACTCTCTGAAATAAAATAAAGCTCAAGTACGGAGCACAAAAAGTACTCACCTTGAATATCTTATGATTATACAAAGATAGCATATTTCATAGAGAAAGGTTTAATCTGGGTATGTAACCTTTTGGTGTTTGTAATTTAAAATATTTTCAGGACTTATTGTTTAGAATATCTAAAGTATGCCCCTCAAGATAGCCATAGTGGCTCAGGGGATAGAGCGCTCACCTCCCAATGATGTGAACCGGGTTTGAAACCCGGTAATGACTGGTCAATGCAAATTCTGCACCCGGCTCACACCGACCACAGTGCTGATGTGAAATATCCTCAGTGATAGATTGATCATGGGTTATAGTCCCTTTACTGTCAGGCTAACAGTGGGAGATTTTGTGGTTTTTCTCCTCATGTAATGCAAATTCAGGTTAATTCCATCAAAAAAAGTTCTGCAGGCAAATTTCTCCCAATACTTGATCCAGGAGTTCCCTTGTCTTCTGGATTGGGATCAAAATTACAAGGCTACGGAATTGGACATTGGTAATTGTAAACCTAAAATTTGGTCCACGGTTCAACGCGGTTATAATGCAAGATTCACTATGTTCTCAATCGATGTCATCTCTCATTCAAATTTTTTCATTCATCAAAATTTAACAACTATTAAGCCAATAATATTTTATCTTTGATTATGAATTAGGGCTTACGTCAAAATTAACGATCGCCACAGGGTGGCTAACTATTACAAATAGTGATTAGAAACTTGTTAGCCGGTCGCCACCTTTTATTAAAAATGTGAAATATGTGCACTTTATTATTGGTTTTTTTGTTAAATAAATATGGAATTAATATGAATAATTCATAACACTTAGGAAATTATTTCATTTCACACTTGTTTTTAAAAAATTTTCTTCATTTTTCAATTGTAATATTTACCATATTTTGAGAGATGCTTTAAAAGAAATGCCTGATATTATTTATTCACAATTTTTAACCATTTAAAATTTTCTATTTTTGAAAATGTTTCTACAGTTAAAAATGCTACAACTGGCTGTTGCCAAAGTTTCCTAATTTTGATCTATACAATTTAACAACTCCTGAATATTTTATGAGCATGGGCCTCAAGAATTAAAAATTATATTGCCCTGCATATCCTAGGTTTGAAAAAAAAATTTTTTTTTATAAAGTTTTAATTTTGAATTTTTTTTTCATTTAGGTAGAAAATATAAGTCTAGGTATGTAAATATATTAGACTAGATAGTTCAATAAGAATACCATAAACCAAGGATTTACCTGAATGAGGAATACCACCTAGGATTCAATCAGAATACAATATCAATAAAGGGTGCTTCAAATTTTTAGCCAAAATTTGCTAGATGCTGCTGTGGTTTATTATTTTAATTAATGAATGTGAACATCGTCAAGCTTTTAACTTTGTTTAAGTTGTTTTTTTTTCTCTGGATAATTCTAGGTGGTGCTTTTGCAGCACAAATGATCCCGATCCCAATGTGGCCTGGAAGCGACCATTCAGTTTGCTTTTCACTCTAATTGGGAAACGGTAGCAACGCTTTTCACTTATATGGGAGCAGAAGCATTGACCCACCACCTGGAAATACTGAGTTATTTTCCTGAGACCTTCTGATTTCCAGTCTCTGTTACCTCCTTACAAGTAAGTTCCTATTGTGAATCTCTCATAAATTTATAGATTAAATGTTTGTTAATACAGTGTGCTATGTACGGTGTGCAGTATAAAGAAGCAAGTACCTTAATAACATTTGATCTAACGGTTGGATTTTCATGCTCTAAGGAGCGATCTGAATCAAATCATTAAGATAATCTCTAAGAGGCTATCTAATTAAGATAGCATATTAGTAAATGAAGATCCAATCATTAAGTCAGAAAATATTGAAGCGTTTGCTTTCTTAATATTGTTACTTTAGGAATGAAGCTGCAAATATTGGTCTAAGTTCCTTAAGAAAAGTAAAAATGACAAGTTAGTTCCTATTGTGGATGCTTCATAAATTTATAGATTAAATATTTATTATAATTTGTTTGTTAATAGTGTGTTATATACAACTAAGAGGCTTCGCTCCTTGCTCGCTTGCGCTCGCCAACCCTCGGAACTGCTTTCGCAGTGCATTTCGGATTGCTTTGCAATCCGATGCTCGCTTTACTCGCTCATCGGATACGTTCTTAACGTCTAGCTTTTGTATACTTTTTTGAACACTGAAGTTCCGAAAACTTTTCACTGTAGAAAATTCTAAACCAGTGCATTTCAATATTAATTTGAAATTGCAAGCAGTTCACATATTCTTCTTAATCACACTATTCTAAATTTCAGTTGTTGAGAAAAGTGACTGTTGTAAGTTTTGTTTTAAAGTCTTTTCCACCAGAGGGCTAAAACCATGTGTTGTTAAACAATATGAAATAGTACTGAACGCCGGATGTAAAGCATCGGCTTCGATGAAGATAATTTTGTGAGAAATTTTTTGATAATTCGATGAGAATTCACCCGATTAGACATATGATGCTCGCTACGTGCTCTTGCGCGCCTAAGCCCATCAATTAAGAATGAAAACTGTTGCCAACGCCAGAAAAGAAATATCATCGGTTTTATTGATACATACGTATTAGCGTTTTATATAATATATATGTGCAAAATAAAGAAGAGAGCACCTTTATAATTTTTCATGCACTAAGATGTTATCTTAATAATTCTATTGATTTAGCATCTTAGCAGATGAAGATAAAATCGTTAGGCCAAAAGATATAGAAGTGCTCATTTTTTTATTTTGCCCACTATACTGTTGCTTTTTGTATAAAGCTACTAATATTAGTCTAAGTTCTTGAGAAGAAAAAAAAATAAGAGTATTTATTTACTAATTTAAAAGACCATTGACTAAAAGATTGCACTTGTCTGAAGGAGGCTCTACCAAGCTGCAGACCAGGGGCCAAGTTAGCCTCACTGCCTTAACAAGTGGCAATCATTTTGTGCTTTCAAAACAAACAAAAAATGCTTCTAATGACAGTTAATTATTGTTTTACATACTGTATACAAATGATATATGCATTAACTTTTATATTGCTGAAGGCATGATAGATGTTATGAACTTAATATTTCTTTTTTTATAATTTATAATCTTTAGTAATTTTTTAGATTACCATCAATTCTATTAAAAAGAAAACTTTGCACCTGAGTAGTGCAACTTGTAGTCCTTAAAAAGTTATTGGATTTAGTTTTTAAAAAAATATTGTTTTTATTTTGTACTATAAGATATTTTAGTCATTTCCCAGCATTTGGAAATATTTGTCTTTTGAGCTAAATTATTTCTTCAAAGTAATGATAAATGAAATGAATTTTTTTATTCTCTTTTTTTGTTCTTGGCAGTGATTTAGATATGGTTTTTTATCCGTGGCATGAACAAAGGCTTAGAGAGCCTGACTGGTGTGAAAATGAATTTGACAAGTAAGTGTTCTCTTTATTAGTTGTTAATTTAAATTCAACTTTTTGAAATCAAAATTAAATAAACCAGGCTTTTATAACTGCCCGGTGTTATTTTAGCTGTTTGCCCAAATCACCCTAGTTGTGCAAATTCACAAAAGCAGAAACCTGGTTGAAAGAATGTGATTTAATATTTATTTTATTTTCGCTCATTGTGAAAAAATTACGGGTAATTTTTTCACAATTTTACAAAAACGGACCTTTCACAAAATGTCTGGACAGACCCCTGACATTTATCCCTAAGATGTGCTGCATTAGACTTATCATATTCTTAAAAAGTGGTAGTACAATGCTGTCGTTGGATAGCCTAATATGTCCCAAAGTGTGAGGTTCGGATAAATAGGTATCACCAAATTTGGAATAAGGTGAACACTAAAAATAATCAAGATCACAGATAAATAAGACAATGCCCTGCTATATCCAGATACAAGCTCAGCATTTAACACGGTGAGATGCTTTCAAAGGGAAGTAAAACAGGTACTCAAAACAATAACATAAAGTACTCACAGCTTACGGAAATTAAAAAAAAATAATAAAAACCATCACCAAAATGAACACAAATAAAATGGTATGATCACACAATCTTTTTATTCAGCACAGCATTTATTTAGAACAAACTCACAATTTTACCAGTAAAGCATATGTTTTGATACAATTTTAACAAAAGAAAGCCTTGAATTAGAAATGGGTGACAAGAGAATTGAACGTAAAGCGTCGTGCATAAAAATAAGATACAAGAAAAAGATACATTTAAATGGCTATAATAAAAATAAATGCAGTAGAAACGCTTAAATTTGAAAAGTTTTTAATGTTAAAGAAGATTAAAGTTATAAAAAGTAGATATTCAATTAACAGAAATGTACAGTTTGAGGATTTCATTAAAATTAAAGCCAAAGAAAAAGGATGTAAAAAAAAGAATATATTCTCTCGATTCGGACCTAAAGTATTAAATCCTTTAAAAAAATTCGTTAATTGGTATTGATCCAAAAAGCGATAGACTACTAAATTCATTTAGCTAAATTTAAGATAGACTACTAAATTTAAATTTATTGATTAAGCCCCCCTGAAAAAATAAATGAAGAAAAAATAAAGGCGGGTATAGAGGGGCATCTCTTCCCACAGGAAGTATAATAACCGTGATGACCAGCGAAGAGGGGAGAACAGAAAGTTAATATTCTTTATAATAAGAAAAGTGGAATTTTGCAAAGATATTTAAAAAAAAATTTTGTATTTAAATTGAGAAGACAAAACCCTAATTAAAGTCAGTTGGAAAATTAATAATTTACACTGAATTTACATAAAATAAATTTACACTGTTACATAAAAAAAGGAAATAAAGGTTTAAAAAAATTGAAAGATAAGATTTAAATAAAAGAGTAAATTGTTAACATTTAACAAAGTGTTAATCTGACTCATATTCATAAACTGAAATTGTTTATAATATATTTTTTTTCCATTTCTTAACTTTGTTAGGCGTTGTCCAATGCAGTTCGTTCAACCTGGGTTCGAATCCCAGCTGTCTAAAGTCTGGTTTATTCGAGTTCCGCACCTGGCTCGCACCGACCACATTGCTGACGAATAATATCCTCAGTGGTAGACGGATCATGGGTTAGAGTCCCCTTGCCGTCAGGCTAACCGTGAGTGGTCTTCGTGGTTTTCCTTTCTATGTAACGCAAATGAGGGTTAGTTTCATCAAAAAGTTCTCCCAAGACTCCATCCAGGAGTTTCCTTGTCTTCTGGATTGTGTTTAAATAAAAGGCTACGGAGTTAACGGAGGAGAACAGAGTTACAAGGCTAAGAAACATTGGTAGCCGTTAACTGAAAATTCGGTCGGCTGTTCAACGACGGTAATAATATAAAATGAAAATATAAAGAAATTGGACATTGTGTTCAAATTGTAGCCCATTGTAGGAAATAATTAGTGAATAATTAGGAAATAATTAGTGTACCCACCAAATATTTCCAACAATGGACCACCAAAACTTTGTTATATCGGCTAAAAATAACAGTGGATGCAGTTTTTTTTTTTCTCTTTTTTGTTAAGTAAAAATCCACGATTTTTAAAGTGAAATTTCAAATTTAACGTAATTAGCCCATAACAGTGTATCGTAAATTTACGTTTGGCATCAAAAATTTTCATTAGCTAACCAACTTAAAAATAATTTCTCTTTAAAACAAAAATTTTTTTTTTAAATGCTACGATATTCACTGCAAATGCTACGGTGTCTCACTGCGATAATGTTGAGAAGAATTAGTTTAGGTGTTTAGAATTAGCTAGCCCACCAGCTCCAAATTAATTTGTACCGGCTTGTCTGTAATGTAAAAAGAGGTCGTTTAAGGTGGCCACTCTACAGGACAATACCTGGAAAATACAGGAAATTCACAAATCACCTAAAATAACGGGGGAAATGCAGGGAATTTTGAGTTTTTCCTTAAAAACTGGGAAGATACAGGGGATTTTGTTTCTTATTTTTGTCTTTTAATAAGTGGTGACCACTGAATGCGCATTCTATGGCATATTTAAGGATGACATTTCTGCTATACTAAACTATTTCATTTACTATAGCATTATTTGTTTTAAGTTGGTTAAGCTGTTCAGTATTTCTTTAAATTTTTCCATCAATTAAGGCTAGTATAGTTAGACTAATATAGATTAGATAAGAGCAGAGTGATTGTGTGTTTTCTCTTAATGTATTGTGTATAATACGCGCAGGGGAAACACGAATTTTTTTTCCTTCAGATTTGAGTGGCAACTCTGTCATTGCATTAGTCGCGAAATTGTAGATCCTTGATCTCTATGTGCCAAAGGTCACACGGGAATGTTTGGTTTTAACCTACCTAAAGAGGTTTTTTTAGCCAAAGTTTTTAGCTGACTAAGCTAATTTTTGAACCAAAATTCCTCAGTGTTAGTTTGTTAGAAATTACTATTTTATGTTATCCCACAAAAATTTTCATTAAGCCACCCATTGAAAATAAAATTAAAAAAACTCTGTGAAAAGAGGTATCAACTGGGTTAAAAAAATAGTTTAAATATTGCATTTTAAAGTAATTTATTGTAGATAATTGTTAAGCTGTTAATTGATAATTGTTAAATTGTTTGATAATTTATTGTAGATAATTAAGATATATTTTACAATTTTATTACTGTCGTTGAACAGCTGACCCAATTTTTTGGGTTTACGACTACTATTGTTCAACTACGTAAACTTGTAATTTTGAACCCAATCCAGAAGACAAAGGAACTCCTGCATGAAGTATTAGTAGAAATTTGTCTTCGTGGAGAACTTTCCTGATGGAACTAACCCACATTTGCTTCACATGGATAAGAAAACCTCCCACGGTTAGTCTGATGGCGAGGGAACTCTAACGCATGATCTGTCTACCACTGAGGATAATTCATGTCAGTACTGTGATCGGTGCAAGCCAGGATCGTAATTCGTATAGACTAGCCTTCGCTGAGATTTGAACCCAGTTTACCTCATTGATAAGTAAACGCTCTATCTCCAGAGCCACCACTGCTCAAATTNCCGAAAGTGTTAAATCTTTTAAAAAAATTCGTTAATTGGTATTGATCCAAAAAGCGATAGACTACTAAATTTAAAGAGCGAAGAGTTTGAAAATCAGACGAATCAAATTGATTAAGCCCCCCTGAAAAAATAAATGAAGAAAAAATAAAGGTTTGGTATAGAGGGGCATCTCTTCCCACAGGAAGTATAATAACCGTGATGACCAGCGAAGAGGGGATAACAGAAAGTTAATATTCTTTATAATAAGAAAAGTGGAATTTTGCAAAACAAGATATTTAAAAAAAATTTTTGTATTTAAATTGAGAAGACAAAACCCTAATTAAAGTCAGTTGGAAAATTTCGCATAAAATAAATTTACACTGTTACATAAAAAAAGGAAATAAAGGTTTAAAAAAATTGAAAGATAAGATTTAAATAAAAGAGTAAATTGTTAACATTTAACAAAGTGTTAATCTGACACATATTCATAAACTGAAATTGTTTATAATATATTTTTTTCTTCCATTTCTTAACTTTGTTAGGCGTTGTTCAATGCAGTTCGTTCAACCGTCTCTCTAAATACCTTCGGACAGCATTTGTGGCACCTGTTATCTGCATAAAGAACGCTAAATATTTTTATGACCAAAATAAGTTAACCTACTTTCTGACCAAAGAATTGAACATTGGTGGCTCAGAAGGTAGAGCGCTCACCGCGTAATAAAGAGAACTGGGTTCGAATCTCAGCTGTCTAAAGTCTGGTTTATTCGAGTTCCGCACCTGGCTCGCACCGACCACATTGCTGACGAATAATATTCTCAGTGGTAGACGGATCATGGGTTAGAGTCCACTTGCCGTCAGGCTAATCGTGAGTGGTCTTCATGGTTTTCCTTTCTATGTAACGCAAATGAGGGTTAGTTTCATCAAAACGTTCTCCCAATACTCCATCCAGGAGTTCCCTTGCCTTCTGGATTGGGTTTAAAATTACAAGGCTACGGAGTTAACGGAGGAGAACAGAGTTACAAGGCTAAGAAACATTGGTAGCCGTTAACTGAAAATTCGGTCGACTGTTCAACGACGGTAATAATATAAAATGAAAATATAAAGAAATTGGACATTGTGTTCAAATTGTAGCCCATTGCAGGAAATAATTAGTGAATAATTAGGAAATAATTAGTGTACCCACCAAATATTTCCAACAATGGACCACCAAAACTTTGTTATATCGGCTAAAAATAACAGTGGATGCAGTTTTTTTAAACTTTTTTGTTAAGTAAAAATCCACGATTTTTAAAGTGAAATTTCAAATTTAACGTAATTAGCCCATAACAGTGTATCGTAAATTTACGTTTGGCATCAAAAATTTTCATTAGCTAACCAACTTAAAAACAATTTCTGTTTAAAACAAAAAATTTTTTTTTAAATGCTACGATATGCACTGCAAATGCTACGGTGTCACTGCGATAATGTTGAGAAGAATTAGTTTAGATGTTTAGAATTAGCTAGCCCACCAACTCCAAATTAATTTGTACCGGCTTGTCTGTAATGTAAAAAGAGGTCATTTAAGGTGGCCACTCTACAGGACAATACCTGGAAAATACAGGAAATTCACCAATCACCTTAAATAACGGGGGAAATGCAGGGAATTTTGAGTTTTTCCTTAAAAACTGGGAAGGTACAGGGGATTTGGTTTCTTATTTTTGTCTTCTAATAAGTGGTGACCACTGAATGCGCATTCTATGGCATATTTAGGGATGACATTTCTGCTATACTAAACTATTTCATTTACTATAGCATTATTTGTTTTAAATTGGTTAAGCTGTTCAGTATTTCTTTAAATTTTTCCAGCAATTAGGGCTAGTATAGTTAGACTAATATAGATTAGATAAGAGCAGAGTGATTGTGTGTTTTCTCTTAATATATTGTGTATAATACGCTCAGGGGAAACACGAATTTTTTTCCCCTTCAGATTTGAGTGGCAACTCTGTCATTGCATTAGTCGCGAAATTGTAGATCCTTGATCTCTATGTGCCAAAGGTCACACGGGAATGTTTGGTTTTAACCTACCTAAAGAGGTTTTTCTGGCCAAAGTTTTTAGCTGACTAAGCTAATATTTGAACCAAAATTCTTCAGTGTTAGTTTGTTAGAAATTACTATTTTATGTTATCCCACAAAAATTTTCATTAAGCCACCCATTGAAAATTAAAAAAAAACCGCTGTAAAAAGAGGTATCAACTGGGTTAAAAAAATAGTTTAAATATTGCATTTTAAAGTAATTTATTGTAGATAATTATTAAGCCACCCACCAAAAACAGTTATTATCAAATTAAGATATATTTTATAATTTTATTACTGTCGTTGAACAGCTGACCCAATTTTTTGGGTTTACGACTGCTATTGTTCAACTACGTAAACTTGTAATTTTGAACCCAATCCAGAAGACAAAAGAACTCCTGTATGAAGTATTGGTAGAACGTGGAGAACTTTCCTGATGGAACTAACCCACATTTGCTTCACATGGATAAGAAAACCTCCCACGGTTAGTCTGATGGCGAGGGAACTCTAACCCATGATCTGTCTACCACTGAGGACATCTGTCTACCACTGTAATGTGAGCAAAGGTGAAATTGAATTTTGTCTTAACCCTTTGTAAGAAACCTTTAGATCACGTCCGTCCACCAAACATTTTCGTTAACTCATTGCTTAAACAAAAGTAATGATCAGAATAGATTTTAGGTCATTTTGATGTAGACCTAGGAAATAACCGACCAAGATTTAACTAGTCTTTGATCAAAAGTTTTAATTCTGTTTCCAAACGTTGGCACATCGTAGAAAATTATAACCAGAACATCTTTCAGCCTATTTCTGATCTAGAAAACACAAGTTTAAATTTTATTTCAAGTGATGACCCATTGCAAGAAATCTCTACCTTATGCGCCTTATTGTTATAAATCTAAACAAATTTTTGCCGACTTCTGAAGTATTAAAAGGTAAACAATAGTGAAGGCCAATAGTAGGCAGCTGCAGGAAATAATTATCCAACGTTTGCCCACGAAGGTTTTGTTTGCATTTCGCTAGCTCACTTTAGCGGGGGAAAAACTTCATTAACCGAACCAGCAAAAAAAGTTAGTCAAACACATTTTATAGCTAATTTCTAATCCACTAACCACAAGAATGAATGACGGTTCATAACTTGCAGAAATCTTCACCCAGGTTTACCAATCGGAAATTTCTGTTGAAATTGAGAAAGAAAATTTTTATTTTGGGAATACTTGTTTTTAGGTCATTCACAAAAACAATTTTTCAAGCAAAATTTATTTTTGATGACAGTTCTTTTCACTTTCAGTCCTAACAAAATTCATTATAGAAATAAAAGTAGCAATGAAAAAACATTTCAGATGTCATAAATAATTTCTTTTATTCTCGAATGAGCTGCAAAATGTGTACAAAATTATTCATAATCTTCAAAAATCTTCTTAATCTTCAAAAACGAAATACATGGGACTAAAAAGGAAGCAAATGTGAAAATAAATGAATGAAAATGCATATTATATTCAACAGAAAAACTTCACACTTTAAGAATAAAATTTGAAAGGTTGTTTAACATCAATAGCACTGTGGGGAGAATCATATTGACAATGTATTGTCAGTATTCATCTATCAGAAGGTACTACAACATACCAGTGAATTCGAATTGTATTTTGTAGTGGTAGACATACTACGGTACTCATACTCCCCCACCAGAGTTTTTTCTTTCGTATAATTCAATGAACGCATACCACTAGTTGATTCATTTCCGCTTCGTGAGAATCCGGGAGAGTTGTAATAAGATCACCGTACTTTTGAGGGCTGATCGTGAGAGCTGTAATAAGTTCACTCTCCTGTAATGCCATTTGAAGTAAAGTGTATCAGGCCGACGTTGTGTGTGATCGAGACAGAGTAGCAACAGCTCGAGAAAGTGGATAATGTCGCAGTCACGAGTAGCAAGTCAACTTTTCAATGTAGACGATCTTTGCGAAGTAGGCGTGTTCATAACGAAGTTTCTGTGACGTCCAGGTCACCAATGTGGGGCGAGTGATATCGACAATGTCAACATCCATCTATGAAAAGGTACCCCAATATACAGTCATAGCTCTGTCGGTTGGTCGGGGTGCCCGAGTCCGGAGTGGCCCTTTACCCCATGAATTAAAAGACCATTGTGGTGGTTCCTTACGGTCCTCGTAGCCTAAAAATAAAAGTAGAAATCATAGAATAGAAGTCAACATAGAATCGAGTTAACATTTCTTACATACCAGAGAATTGGAATTGCTGTTTTGTATTGGTAGACGCACTGCGGCATCTCAAACATAGATGGCAGCTAAATGACATTTGTTTTACTTACAAGAGCACAATAAACATTATTAAACTTGAGTGAAAAAAAATATTCTGGACTGAAGATAAAGAAATATTACTTCTCGAAAACTCGAAAGGTAGTTTTATCATTCAGATATAAAGATTAGATAAGTTTAAATTTCCATTTTAGTAAGTTTAAAAGTTTAGTCCGAAGAAGTTTGAAATTTGAAAGCGAAAGAATCGCCTCCTAGTCTAAGACGTGTTTCAGATTTTAAAAAAAAAATTATATTCAGGGCTACAGTTCAATTTTTCTTTGACTTAATCTCTTCATATTAATAGATTTAGCAAAATGTTTCATTAGCAGATAAGAGAATCCTGGGCAGTGTATAAAGTTACGTATTGTATATCCTATAAGTCATCTCCATAAAAATTGACACCCTGTCTCTTTTTTTTCTGAAGAATCGGACCAAAACGAAATATAAATAAGAGAAATCAAACATTTAGCAAAATTACTATATAAAAAGTCACATGTATTGTACCACGATCCAAAAAAAGAGCATTATGATGAATGCGATATTCGATACACAAAATTATCACCGGAAAAAAAGAATAAAAAAACTTAATATTTTAAAAAATAAATAAATAGACACAGATGTACCATCTTTTTAAACTGTTTTTATGTCACTCATGCGCGTAAAATATTAACCTTCAATAACTCAAAAACAAATGCAACAGGAATAACTTTAGTTGTGGAAACAATGAATTTGCATCAACAACAGACCATTCTGATTGCATTCAAATCTAGCAACTCATACTCTGAATAACTTTGGCTCTAATGATCGGATTTCTGAAAACCAATAAGTGTGGGTGAACTCAAGCGCTAACTATTTAGTGCTAACTATTGACTAATTAATATATGTTAATATATATTATTTAATAATGTTATAGAATCGCACACAACACGCTCCCTCTAAAATTTGGTTTTTTATTTTAACAATTATCAGTTTCTAAACAACTATCTTAAAATGCTAAATAAATTGTTTGATAGATTCACTCATACCAAATAGATCTGTAGTATGGGTTCTTGGAATTGAGCCTTTGGAAAGAAAGGGGTCCTAAAAATATTTCACATTAGTAATACAAATCCATATGAACAGTATCTATTATAAGACTGCACAGTATTGATGCAGTGATAAACTATTTTTTCACAGCAGTAGACTCCTTTAGACTTTGTCCTAAGGGGAGTTCTTTAAATAGACAAACTATAAGTTACTGTCTCGTTTCTCCATGTTCCCATGATTCTTTGCACCATGCGCACACGCATTTTGTAAAATATAAGTGTTAATTTCAGAATGACAAAGTGTTAATTTTTGAAATTTATGGTGTGAAGTGACTATTACCATATTTATACATTATTATATTTGCATTTTTTGCAGAACAAGTTGTGACCTTCTTTTCAGAGAAAAAGAAAACGATAACATTGATTAAGCTGTGTAATGTGTTAGACCATTAATTCAGGTAAGAATTTCATTCTCATGCTCCATAAATTTTAAGATCTCCACCTGTTTCGATAGAAAAAAAAATTCAATTAAATTGTAACTTTTCAATTAAGATTCAAAACCATTTTTAGTTTTAATTCTAGTGGCAGTAATACAATTTATGCTTTTATTAAGAACTCATAGTGTCACTTATTAACATTTCTACCTGTTCCTTCTGCTTGCTTTTTTTTTATTCGCAAAACTGCAGATTTCAGAATACTAGTTACATATATACTTAAACTTTTGCTCCAATAAACGTGACAACTAGTTTGAACCAATCAAACAGTTTAAGATTGAATACTCACCCTTCTTTTCTGGGAAATAAAAGCAGATGAGAGATGCGTGTTTAAAGATGTTCCTGTCTTTACAGTTTGAAAATAAAAATAAAAATTGAAAGCAATTATTTTCTAAATATTTAAATAAATGCATTGACTCTAACACGATTTGTTAACATCCTTCAGATATGTCAAAATTTGTCACAATTATGGTATAACATCAATGGAGGGATCATAAAGCATTCCCCATCCTTAAAATCTAATTAATTAAGAATTATAATATGTAAATTTTAAATATTACTTTTCCATTTTCATTAGTAAAAATTTTTTGTGATAATTTATAGAAATTTATCTCGTTAACAAAAAGGTTTTTTTTAATGTCATAAACAATTTAAAGCCTTTTGTTTCGTAAAATAAATAATACTACTGTAAAGCAATTATTTTTTTTCAATTTTGCATGCTATTTTCAGTTTAAAGTATTATAATTTTTAATATTTTTTTCTTACTATTAAGCTGAATTAATGTGAAAAAACTCAAGTTTGTTCTAAAAACCTTAGGTTTAGTAGATTTGAGCATATTTATTAAAATTACTGTTAAAAAAGTCGATTTATTAAAATTGCATATGAAAATTTAAGATAACGCAAAAAAAGTATATTTTGAAATTTAAAAAAAAAATGCATGATTTGTTTTAAATAATTTAATGCTATTTGCAATCTCTTTTGAAAAAATTTCTATCGATATCCTAGGAGTACTCCATGCATGTTCTGATTTTAATGTTGGGATTGGGATCGAAAATTCCATTTCATCAAGCAATTCCCTTCATGGCAAATCATTTTTAAATATGGGCATTGGTAAATCAAAAATGATTACAATTAAATAACGTCGTTGTTTATCGCAATTGCTATTGGAATTTCCTTAATAAAAACAGCAACTAATGTTGAAATTTCAAATTTTTCATTCTAAGCATAGAAATTTGTTGTGAAAGTTAAGCAGTTTATTACACGCCATAAACCTTGTTAATTGTGCAAAAGGAATTTATTTTCGTTTCATTCATAAAATTAGAGATTTCGAACTTTATCGCTAATGATTATTATTATTTTCTTTTTGGAAAGTTAAGGAGGAAACGCATAATAAAACTTTCATATTGGTTACCCTTACATTTACACAGAAATGTACCTCAAAATCTCTTTATCTTACAGTTATTTCTCAGGGACGCATATTCAAAATTTGATTTCTCAAAAACTATTAGACCTATTACGTTTGAATTTTATGTTGAAATTTGATGCATTAAAATTATCAAACGAATAATTCATAGACAATTTAAAATGTTCTGCTTTAAAATTATGAGAGATTTTTATACCTAAAAATCTCTTTATCTTACAGTTATATCTCTGGGTCGCATATTCAAAATTTGATTTCTCAAAAACTATTAGACCTATTACGTTTGAATTTTATGTTGAAATTTGATATATTAAAATTATCAAATGAATAATTCCTAGACAATTTAAAATGTTCTACTTTTTAAAAATATGAGAGATTTTTATACCTCCGAAATCAAATGATTTTCGGTGATTACTTAATAAAATAATAAATATTTATCAAACATTATTTTTTAGCCGGAATTATCTTCGGATTATTGAATTTCATAACTGTGAGTGCAAATTTCGCTTAGCTATTTCTATTGTATCGAAATATGAAAAAATTTGAAACATTGAGGAGTTCAAACTTCTCATAGCTATCCTGCTTAAACTCTTGAAATTATTTTTCCCAGATAACTGCTTACCCAAAATGTGAATTTCAGAAATTCAAATCCTGCGGGAAAAAAATGATATCTTATTCAGAGTGTTATTATTATTTTGCACAATGTATAGATTTAGAAAAATAGCAAAAACAATAGTGGTTTTCAAAATTTTATTCAACACTTAGATTCTTTTCGAAATGTTCTTTTCAATACAATTTAAACAATAGAGCTGAGCGCTTTAATATTTTTAAAAAAATTCATAAGAAAGCTTGTCTTTTTTTTGGATGCAAGGAGAACGCTATATGTTGTTTGTTGTTTTCGTGTTCATGGATCTTTAAATCACATCAAAGGTCTGGACTACCGCTGCCGCCATCTTCGGCGCCACTTGACTGTAGAGAATAGCTCTCTGATTCTCTACAGTCAAGAATATATAAGTATCGAATGCTATATAAATATCGCAATTAATAATTTTTCTACTATCGAAATTGTTTTATTTAATGATTAACAAATTAACCACAATAGACAATTTAATTATTATACTTTATTAGCAATTGGTCATAATCCGGATAATCAGAAGCTTCTTAAATTTTTAGAAAAACAGTAAAACCAATAGCGGTTTTCATAATTTTAATCGCCACTTTTAATTTTTTTCAAAATGTTCTTTGCAATACAATTAAAACAATAGCGTTGAGAACTTCAATATTTTGAAGAAAATTTCATGAAAAAGCTTAATTCTGTTTTGGATGCATGGAGAGTGCTATATAAATATCGCAATTAAATTTTTTTTTTTGTAATCGATGTTTTATTTAATGATTAAAAAATTAACCAAAATAGGCAGTTATGCTTCATTAGTAATTGTCATAATCCGTACTACCAAAAGCTTCTTAAATTTTAATTATTTTACTGCTTCAAAAAATTATTACTTTTTCAAATATTAGTTTCCTTCCTTTAGTTTAATTTCTAAGAAAGTGTGATAATTATTTCAACATTGTCCCTTAAAAAACAGAGCATCATTTTCCTAACCGTAAAAAATTTTGTAATTTAACTGTGTTTCATTAAAAATCAGCTAAGTTGTAGCTACATTGTTTCATCTGATATAGTAGTGAATGACATAAATATTAATCTATGACTTAATATTGTGAATTTACGGATAAATACAACATTATTAAAGTTCGTATTGCTATAGTTTTTGTTTTTTTTTTTTTGAAAATTTTTGTTCTTATATGATACAATCTTTTACTATATAGTGAAAATGATTAATTCTTTAGATAATCCTTTTATCTAGCATCTTACAAAATAGATAAGAGAAAAAGAAATGAGGTTGGGGGCGATACGAAATTTGTCACAGGAACTGTTTCCCCTAGAAAATCAAAAAATTTTGCACAAAATTTAAATTTCTTGGCATTAGAGATTTAAAATATAAAAGTTATACTTCGTTTAATTAAAATATATTATGCATTAAAAAATTCCAGATTTTGTTTATTTCATTGATTTTGATTTATTTGAGAAATATTTTTTTCTTTTTGGAATTTTACCATATACTAGGGCTCCTGTTCACTGTCACTCATCAACCCCGATGCTGTTTCTTGACATAAAATAGCTGAGATTATTCAACTAAAAATATATGTATTAAAAAAAACAACTGTGTCGCCACTTCCAAATATTTACCTTAAAATACTATTAATATCTATTAAGTAAATATAAATAATTTTTCTAAATAATAATTTTTTGAAATAACCTTTAAAAAGTTTATTTAAATAACAAATTTTTTGAGTTCACAACTGTAATTTACTATTTGTGCTTAACAAACGAACGGATATATATATATATATATTTAAATAAAAATTTTGCATTAATTACTTTGTGCATGAAGTTGAAATCTAAGTTCTAAATCATACAACGAATCTCTTTAACCGTAATAGTATATTGATGAAATTTGCACTGAAAAATAAAATAATTGTAAAATGGTTAATAAGATCGGACACCGATTTAAGTAACTTTAATTTAAAATGCAACTAGCAATTATGTTGTTCTAATAATAATAACAATCATCTAAAACTCTTAATTTAGAAAACAGACAAAATCAAAAACGTAATAATAAGAGTACGGGTAAATACGTTTAAATTAGGAATTTAAAGGAGAACAATATCTTTGTGACTTATATCAATTTTATGCTGATGACAGCCAAATCAATATGAAAATTAATGTGGGAAAACTGGATCCTACCACGTGATTTTCCAGCCTATAATAATGTACCGACAACAATGGAAAACTGCGACACCATCATTAGATTTTTATGTATATTTGGAAACATTTAATTTATCATATGAATAAGTTTAATGATAAAACTTTTGTGCTCAGTTTTTGATTAAAAGTGATTTCAACACTGAATATAAATATGCCAAATTTAAATTTCTAAAATTACTTTCTTTTAACTTTAAAAAAACGCTAATTATAGTTTTTTATTTAATGGTTTTCGAGGAAGTTACTTGTGTATATAAATACATATTTTAAATAAGAGATCACACAAAATAAAAGAACAAGAGAATTTATGGAACATCAGAGAGGTTTTGTATTTAGGATTCATACAAACCGGTTACATGTTTTTCCATTTATTTTACTTACGGGTTTTTTTTAAATGTAATTTAGTTGATGTGTGTTTGGAATGAGTTGTTATAAAAAAAAAAGCTGTTTATTTAATGTAGTTTGATTCGTTACAGTACCCGTACACGTCTTCCAAGATGTTTCAGTAACTGGAGCCCGCTATTGTACCAAGGTTCTTCCTCAAGGGCATCTTTTTAGAGGTACTGTGAGTGCATCTTCATGGACGATAATGTTTACACCTTTTCGTACAGTGACTGTCACAGAACTGTTTAAGAGAGAAGATATTGGACGCATGGAATGGCAGAGTAGGTCCCCTGATTTTAAGGCGATTGAACATGAACACGTGTGGGACGCACTACAGCAGGATTGGGTAGCAATTTCTCAAGAGCTTCTCAACAACCTNTGGACGATAATGTTTACACCTTTTCGTACAGTGACTGTCACAGAACTGTTTAAGAGAGAAGATATTGGACGCATGGAATGGCCGACGAGGTCCCCTGATTTTAAGGCAATTGAACATGAACAGCACAACAGCAGGATTGGGCAGCAATTTCTCAAGAGCTTCTCAGCAACCTGGTCCTCATCATGTGCAGACGATGTCAATCCTGCATAGATGTGATCATTACTAAAGGTTAGAATTTTGTTGTCAATCCCGTGTAACATTGACGTTTTGGTCATTTGTATAATTATGTTTTTAGCTTTTTTTTTAAGTACCTTATTGTTCCTGTGGATTACATTTTCTTTTTCGGCAAGTTGTTTACTTCCCCTTATTCTTACATTTTCAGGATTCTATGGTATGATTTTTATCAATTTTCAGTACTACTGTTCAAACTTACATTCTAAAAACCACTTAGTCCTTAATTTTTGCACACCAGTGTAATATAGTTTTATGAATACCGTAAATCATATAATTCAGATGTTGTAAAACGATGAGGCCAGTCCTATTGAAAGATAATTTTAGAATGGTCAGACTTAAACTAACCGGGAGAATGAGAGAATATATCTTTTTTTTTAATTTCAAAATAAAATTCTAACGAATAGAATCTCTTTTTCAAAATAAATAATTAAAAAAATATCGCAGTGCACTAGAAAATTTCGTAACTCCGTAAAGTTTAGATTGAAAAAGTTTTATCCAGTTTTCGACTAAAACAACCTTTTAGCCAACTTTTGATGAATTTGAACAATTTTTGAAGCTATGTGTGTTTGTAAGACAACACTTCTTCAGGGGATAGCACTTCTATTCCAATTACAAGTCTTCGTTTACTTGAAATTATATTTCCAAGAAGTCATTGAATGCTTTTTTGAAAGTTTTTATGAAATGTTCAGCAACAGTTAATAATGAGTACCTCATTAAAACATTAAACAGTGATGAATCTCACAGGTTTTTGATAAACAACTTGAAAAAAACTTGTGATTAACAACTTTTTTCGATAATTTAAGCTGAAAATTACGAGGAAATAAATTTTTAACGAAACATTTTTCGTTTTCAAAATTTTTTCAATACCTTTTTTTTTAAAAAAAAAAAGGTATTGAAGAAATAACTTTAAAATTCCTTAAAAAATTCATCAATTATGCCCTCCAAAAAAAAGAGAAACTTATAAAAATTTAACCAGTTGGAAATTATCCTGACAAAAGTAATCGGAATTAAACCTATGTATACAGATAATTTTACCAATGTAAAATTATTGTTTAAACAGTGGACATTGTTTTTAAGCGATGATGGTGAAATGAAGAAAGATGAAGATGAAGGTGAAAGAGGGAAAATTTTTAACGAAACATTTTTCTTTTTCAAAATTTTTTTAATACCTTTTTCTTTAAAAAAAAGGTTTTGAAAAAATAACTTTAAAATTCCTTAAAAAATTCATCAATTATACCCTCCAAAAAAAGAGAAACTTATGAAAATTTAACCAGTTGGAAATTATCCTGACAAAAGTAATCAGAATTAAACCTATGTATCCAGATAATTTTACCAATGTAAAATTATTGTTTAAACAGTGGACATTGTTTTTAAGCGGTGATGGTGAAATGAAGAAAGATGAAGATGAAGGTGAAAGAGGGCATATGAAAGGATAGGTAGGCCAGGGTGTCCTTCTAAAAAGGCGTAAGGGCGAACACTGTATACATAAAAGAATACTTCATGAACTAATAAATGACTTCCTTATCCTTAAAATTTTGATGATCATTTGATTATGTTTATTTATTTTTGAAACACAAATTTTACTGACTATGCTGAAATCTTTGAGTTTAAATAGAATTATTTATATTTAGCATTTATGTTTGTAAACGTGAACTATTCCATTAAAAAATATTTGAATATTTCTAAATTTTCAAATGTTTAAATTTATTGATATTGTAATAAAAAAAACTTTTATTTTTAGTTTAAATTTTGTGTTTTTGTATTTTTGTGATAATACCGTTTTTCCAATGCATTCTAACTTGCAAGCTAGCTTTTCTTAATTTTCTTCTTTTCTCTTTTCGCAAAGATTAACAGCGAAGAATATGGAGAAGCATTGGCTCTTGCTCAGTCCTATAATTTAGATACTGATCTTATGTACCAGTGTCAGTGGAGAGAAATGCCACCTAATGTTGAGACTATTCATGATTATTTCGTAAGACTGGTATTATTTACCTTCAAATTGTTTCTCTATTTACATATTATAAAGTATTTATCATTATGTTTTACAGGAATCGTCGTTGAACAATAAGTTTTTTAATCTAGTTAGTATAAAAATAACATTTCAGTACTAGGTACTCTTCTAAGAATGTAGATCATCTTTTTCTCTTTCAGAAAACTTGATCGATTAAAAAGTTTTAAAGAGCGCAGAAGAAAATTTTTCATTGGATCATAACAGCTTGAGGTTATGCTAAAAAATAGAATTAGTGATAGAATTAGATAGAATTAGAAATCTAAAAAATAGAAACTTCTAAAAAGTCTTAAAATAATACAGACCATGAACAACTGCATGATCTGATAGTTTTTAAAATTGTTTAAGAAA